AACAATTCTAGTTCGAACGTAAATGAAAAGTGAAAATGTAGCTGAAAACTTACTGACCCGTACTAACTTACAGGAATTACATTACATAACATATTTTACTTCTTTAAACGAAAGTTCATGGTTCTTTTAGAATTTCTCACCTCACAGGTCGCACAATATACGTTTGTATTTTATGTCCTTGATTTCTGAAGAGACCATCCCTATGCAATGAATCAAACAACTCACTACCATGCTATTATGATTAACCTTTAAACTGAGCTGCCAATATTATCAAAAAATAATAATTAAGAACCGAAAGCAAGCATAGCTGAATAGTAGATTTTGTACTTTTGTACTTTCGCACGGTTTTATTTGTATTTAAGTTCCCGTCTTACGTACCTATAACAAAGTAGCAACATAACACAAACTGTGGTAAGGTCTTTTTCGTCCTACGAGCTCTGCCTGCTTGAATCTTCAAAGTCATTTGCGGACTAGAATTTATTATCACCGGCGAAGCCGAAGGCACTTAAGGAAGGAAGGAAAGCTTCAAAAAAGATCTTTCAAGATATTTAAAGATGTCTCCGTGTTCCCGTATACAAGGCCCATGTAATAATAACAGAATTATGTAGAATATAGACTACACACACTAGTAGGTCCTTTACAAGAATAACTCATAAACAACGTTGCTTGTTTAAGTATAGGGTGCGATATGCCACACAAGATTCAAATGAAAGATGCTATGTTATTAATTCATCCACGGAAAATACCTTTTATAATATATTTACACCCGACGACGTCACGACGTCCTTTCTGCAGGGTAGGTTCCCGAGTTACAAGCAACTCTGTACAACAATCAACCTATTTCTCCGAGAGATAATTATTATTTATGACGTATTTAATTTTTTTACATAAATATTACCTGCCAACATTTACAAGGCGTAAACAAAAAAAATAAATATATTTACCTATATCATTAGAAAACTTCAAGAGAAATAAATTTAAAAAATACTTGACACTTCTCTCGTAAATGAAAGAAATAAATATAACGGCATTTCAGTCGAAAAACAAAAAAGTACTTACAAATAATAAAATAATTGTAGTTGTTTTAAGAAGAAACCACAAACAACATTTCACGTATAAAAAATCATAAAATGTCCGCGGTAAAGCCACGTGCATTCGACGAGCGATCGCATTCAACTGTTTGACCAGCGTGCGACTCGACTCGCATCTTGCAGCGAATAATATGACGACATCAGATTCCTACTTCACACCTCGTGTCAGAACACAATCCAAAGCACAGAATTGCGTCATGTGTTTTATCTATTCAATCATATATAAATATAGGTACTTATGATCTTTAATAACAAGCATTGGAAAGAATTTTGTTTATAATATAAAGGATGGAGTATGTGTTAACCAGAGTTCAAGAATTCTTTTCAAAACATATATTATACCAATATTTGTTTGAAAAAAAAAAACGGAATTTAGATCTGAAAAAATAGTTCTATTTCCAATGTATAACAATCCCGAAAACATAAGAAAATGTTTAAAGAGCTATAAAAGTATTACAAGCAAATGTAAAGTATTAAGACAATAATTATTATAACATTTTACTGGCTATTACATTTTCTAAGGATAATTTTCAAAGTAGAGTTAGTTAACTAAAAAAGGTTTCAATAAAAATGCCGCAGTTTAACAAAGTTCATGGATTCAAATTTTTAAAATGCCTGATTATGACTAATCACAGTTCATTCAAGGAGTGATGGTACACTTATTTCAATATATTTTATTTGAAACTTTTATTTTTATTTAAAATTAAAAACCAGTAACTAAATTCTCCACAATATATTATGTTATGTGTAATACAAGTATTTGGTCATGAGAAACTTAACACTACTTCTCATAAATAGAGCTTTTAAACTATAAAACATGTATGACATATTTAAGCAAAATGTTAATAATTTATCTAAAATATAAATATTTTTTTTATTAAAAGAATTATGTCCAGTGTTCAAAAGCAGACTTGTGATGATAACACAGTGACACTTATACAGAAAGAGAATACATTACACTAATGTGCTATTAACAATCAAAACATTTTCTTCTTCATAGCAGTATACCTCTCTGTATATTCATTGTATCCTTCTACAGAAACCAGCTGTTTAGCCTCAAATAAGTTTCCATCTATGTTAAGTGTGTGAATTTTCGAATCCCTTAACAAACTTGGCTTAATTGAATCCAAACTCAAGCAGTTCTCTTCTAATCTCAAAATCTTGAGCCTGGGAGCTTGGTGTAAATCATTGGATAAATTAGAAATCTCATTTTGACTTAAATTCAATTCTGCTGCATACAGTTCAGACATTCCATTAGGTATCTCAGTAATCTTATTGTTAGCCAACTCAACTACTTCTAAGTTACTGAGACCCAACAGCTGAACGGGAAACATTTTTATTCTGTTACTGTTCAAATACACTTGCTTCAAGTTTGTCAAACTTGAAAATGAATCAGGGAGGGCAGCAAGTAAATTGTTGGAAACATTTAGCAATTCCAATTTCTTTAAGTTCACAAGTGCGTCTGGTAACCACTCGAGTTTATTAGAGTCTAAATTCAACTGTTTTAATAATTTCAACTTGCTAATATCGTCTGACAAGCAGGTAAGTTTATTCTTGGACAGGTCCAAATTCCTTAGCCTGTCACATAGGTTGAACACTTCAGGCGGGATCTCTTTAAGCTTATAATCAGATATCTGAAGAACTCCAGTCTTCGACGCTGTGTCGTAATGCGGTTTGAGACCAGAATTTCCCATCACTTCGAACTCAAGTGCGGAAAAGATAAAAACAAGAAAAATGCAGATAACACAATGTTATGTACACGCGTCAATTAGCGTGTATCTTATCCTTGACGGTATTGTGATAAACTATCACTTTCCTGAAATTATATGCATCATCACGAGCATATTGTGAAGCTTTTAATGATTTTTAATTTGTTTTGGTCACAACACAAATAACCAACGAAGGTGACAGATACACAGGAGCTGTCAATGTCAAACTGTCATCTAAACAATAATATTGCCATAAATGGCATAATATTGTCACAGTGGTAACACCAGATTCAACACAAAAACTAAAAAAAAATTGAAAAATTGTCTTGCTAAAGCAGTAATTTTCGTCTGTTAAACAATGTTTTTGAAAAGTTTTTAATAACTAAAACAATCTAAAAAAGTATCCTTCACTCGAACATGAGAATCCAAAGAAGCTGGGTTGATATATGTAATTAATAAAAGTACCGGTTTTTATGCATCTCCACTCCAGTGTGGACGAAACCGACAAAAATCCGATCGACAGAACGGGAAGAGTTGGACGTTTTGTATTCAAAGTTATATCCTTTTTTAAGGTTTTTAGTAAACATTTTATATAATAATGTTATATTTAGTTGAATAATTGTGTTAGTGAACTTATAATTCATTGATAAAACAACTATTGTGTTAATTATGTTAAATTTTGTTTCTATACCACCGCGGGAAAACTCGGCACGGATTGCTATAATGGCCGCATTAGCGCCAATGCTTTTCATGTGTGTTCTTCGAAAATGAAATGAACCATTATAAATAAGTTTTATAGTGACATTGAATTTAAACCTACGAGTTGGCAATGGATATTAACACTGGTAAGTGCGATCTGCTTACAATATCAAGCCAACTACACAACTTCTGCATACTGTACTTTGTTGCTTGGTAGAACTCATCGCTATCTTACTTACAAAATCCATATAATTTGTTCAGGAGTCGTTTACGTTTAGGTTTTTCCAATATGCCTTATTAAGCTATGATTGTTCGGTTAGTATTAGCGAAGAAGTGGGTACGCTACAAAGTCACGTATACGAGTGACTGCTTTTAATATAATATTTACCTACTTTATTAAGATTATGGGCCACAAAACTCACCACGTCCCTTTGTTTTCGAAATAAACTGGACTACAAAGCACTGTGAAAAGATGCATCATTGACATCTGCATTATTTTGTCAATTTAAAAGGAGATTCCACTAACCATTGGTGATTTATGAAGCTTGATGATCTATTTGGAAATCCTTGTAGATTGATCTTTCTCTGTCATCCTTCTTTATGGTTAAAATGTATCTATCAAATTGAATCATTCCGAACTTGAGTGAGCCATAGATACAAAAGTTGAAGTTGAGAGATTTCTTTTTCCAGTCAGCACATGTACTATATTTGTACTCATATTATCATTCTCCATTGCATGCATGATATTGACTCTCCAACATGTACTTATTGCAATAGTGATCAAACTATGGACCATATATTCTTTAACTGTTCATACTTCGAATTTACTACACCTTCAACTGCTGGAAATATACAGCAAACCTGAAAATTTCCCACACTTGACCAAAGGCCTATTGACTCTCTGACTCTGTCCTATGTAATTAGCATCAATCTTTTATGACATGAAATAAAATATATAAAAACAGGCACTTATCACTAAAACAATGAAAGTACTAATATATAGAAATGGGCATTACAAATCATATATAGTTATTGAAACTATATATTGATATTACTCCGCCTCACATATTTTATAGCGATGCTGAATCAAGACGAGCGATTACCAAGTGGATACCAACAAGAAATCATTTATTCTCCAAACTATATACCAATATTGCTTTGTATCAGATTTTCGCTATATATTCACTGAGTGGATATCAATGCGAAACCAGTTTTTGTGCATCTTTGAAACTGTATACTAACATTGGCCAGCATTACTCTTCGTAGAACTATATCCAATAATATATAGTTTCGAAATCTGATTCCGCATATCAGTAACGGCAATGTATCAACGCAGCGTGCTGGCGGGCTGTATCCACTAATATATAGTTTCGATACGATAAAAGCTATATTACCCATTCCTACTATATGAAGAGGCTGTATAGTGGAACCTTTGCCTACCCAAATAAATAGGTGATTATTTTTTTTAAATTTATTAAGGCTTTGGCAAAGCCATCAGCCTAAACATGAAGTTTAATTATGTTTCTGTAAATATGGCCGCCACAAAGAGGATAGGCAATTTGAGGGGGCGTGTTTGGATTGACTCGGGATTCCTTAAAACGGGCCGATGTGGGTATTTTAGTTCGAGATTCGTATAATTTCGCGTTTTAGTCTTCAATTAAGGCACAATACCACTATCCTATTGCACTTTAAACTAGATTTCACAAAATAATTGAAAGTCAAAATAAAAACGACACTTTTCCCTCCAAAATACCCAGAGCGAATCTAAATAGGTGAGAACTTATAAAAAAATTAGTACAACAGCTATTAACAACATGTTATAAGATTCTGTCCATTCCCTCTTTGTGCGTGTGTTGTGTAAATTTATAAAAAAAAATTGTTTCTGTAATAGTTCCATAATAGTCATTCTTACTTGATATTGACAAAATCATCTATTATTTCTATGGAGCCATAGCATTTAAACGAAGAAGTCTGTGTAGGTTCTCTGTCGTTGTAGATTTGTGTTCTCAGTGAATTCTATCGAAACTCACCAGTCAAGTTTTGAGTAATAAGTGTGTGTTCCTCAACTTGACATTGGCAAAATCATTGATTACTTCGATGGGGTCATAATATTTAAAATAAGTAGTAGTATAATTATAAAAATTTATTAATTTGAAACAATTTATTGTAATAAATATTGTAATGTTTTACTACCATGATATTCATTTATTATTGTCAAATTATTCCACTACTTTGTTATAATTATTTAAATATTACAAAGTTCAAACACAAAGATTGCCCTGAGTAGATAGAATGTATGTTGTTTGTGTTCAATCTTTGTATTAATAATTAACAATCTTGAATTTCTTTAACACAAGATATCCAAGATTGTCAATAATAATAACAGTAGGCAATGTTTACATGAGTAACATTGGGCAGAGACAACATAAAGTGTAGATTCTGCCATGAGGTGAATGAAACTCCAGTGCATCTCCTCACCCAGTGCTGGCCCTCATGGGCGTACAAAGTTTCATTCTGGGAACACACAGGACACAACCAGAGAGAGGACATAAAAACTGTGTGACTGAGTGCCACTAGTATGAGAGCGACATAAAGTGCGAGATCGACATAAAGAAAGAGAGAAAAGCAGTATCTCGCTCTTTATGTCTCTCTTGCGCAAGTCGCGTTCTGTCGTGCAAGCCTTACTGCAAAGTCCTTCAGTTCTTTAATACTGTTGGCCTTAGGTCCGAACTGTAATTAGTGGTGATCACAATAGATCAGTTAATGGTTGTGGTGATGAGAGGCTGCATAGGCCCTGAATGCAGCCACCCTAATAATAATAATAAGACTGTTGAAATAATTGCCTCTTAAATGTGCCAATGCCAGCAGTAACTGCTGTTGTTTAGCCAATTAGATAATAAAAAACAATATGTCTTACATAATGCCCAATATTATGCTACACTTGTAGAAAATCTTACCTTGGTATTACTATTTCAATCTAATTAACCCTTAATTACTAATTGCAATATCAGTGCATAATAAGCCCTGAAACCTTTAAATGCTTTATAACCATGTAGGCTTTAAAATTTTATTAATATAAGTAATTATAATAATATATCTGTTTTTATTTTGCTTACTGCTTTTGGATTCTACATTCAGTGAGTATTATGTATCGTATTCTATCAGGTCCGGATTTAAAGTTTGCTTTCTCTTAGGCTCAAAAGCGTTTTTGATATTTTATTTATATTGCGCACCGAAACAGCTCAAAAAATTTACTTATAGTTTGGCGAGTGAATGTAGATTTTTAAAAAAGCTTGAGCCTCTAAGTAGGGATGTAATGGCCTAGTGGTAAATCCAATCTTGGTTGTCTCAGTAATTAACAGAAACAAAAAATATTTTTTCCTGTTTATAGTAATAGTTTCCTTAACTCTTTTTTTTAAACTCAATATTATTACATTATGAAAATTATTTATAATTAATCCAGCCCAAGTCCATGTACAATTGTTAGAGACTCATGGTTAACCTAATGATTTTGATAATGTATAGAGCCACGCGGCGTCTAAAATGCATAGTTGTGTTTTCTTCCACTATTTAAAAAAAAAAATTTTTCAAAATTTTTTAATTTAGAAAAAAATTATCAAAGTCGTTATGGTCACACGTACGTTCTTTTCCATCCTCTAAACACGTACGTGAGTTAAAATCAGGTAAAAAAGTATTTATTAGATTATCATATGTACTATCTATTTTGTATTAATATGACAAAAATAGTATTCAAACAAAAAAAATTTGTTAGTTTGGCATTAAATAATGCATTTGTTTTGTTGTAAAGAGGTCTCAGCACAATTGTCTTTGATCGATGTCCTGCTGAGCGACCTTGATAAAACAATCACACCATGCACTAACAAAAAGAATGAGAAGAAAGAAGAAGAAACACAAGATGCCATGCCTGATTCTACGACCAATACTGAGAAAAGCAATGCCAACCCATTCCACTGTGGAGATGATGTACTTGTTCCTAACAAGGATGGACGTTATTATTTAGGTATGTTTACAACCACCCTACCTGAAAGGTCATTATCTATTATTAATCATATATCATCGAGTCATTAACATAAGTCATCTTTATGAATCCAAGTTTTGATACATATTTTGGTTTCAATGCCATTATATTTTGTTGAAATTTTTTGGAGCAATAATGTAATAAAATATTTAACAGACGTAATAGGATACTGGTATCCAACAGGTACTATTGTAGAGTTAAGCACAAGCAACGACAATGACTTGTGTGAAGTGGGCGCGGGCGTCGCGCGATGTTTGGTCAAGTTCGGCGATGGCACGCATTCGTGGGCTGCAGTGTCGTCACTCAAGCTGCTCAGTGCACCGCCCGCCGACGATGGCAGGATCATGTGCGTGGTGTGTAAGCGCCGCGAGGGGCCTCCGCCCGCCACCGGCCCCGCCACCAACGCCATCATCGCCTGCGACATGTGTGGTAGAGGCTATCACGCTAAATGCCATTCACCACCAGTTGAAGCTTGGATTCATGGTACTTCACCATTAATTACGCTCTTATTACGAAGGAATTCCAAGTCAAAATAATTCTTTTTAATTTCATAATTTTTCCAGGCGCGTCGTGGCATTGTAAGAGATGTGTGGACCAGAGGTATAGAGTAGCTGCTGCTGAAAATAGAGCTTCAAAGAGATCAGACCTGTTTAGATTCAAAGGCGGTCAACAACGGCGACAGCAAGAAACCCCACCCTGTGATGTAGGTTTATTACCGTTCCAAGTAAGATTATGTTAATTGTTGACGGCGTTTTCATGTGAATGACATATTAAATTGTTTTAGACTGCATCAACCACGTCGTCAACTGGCTCTGATGGTGGAAAAGATCAAAACGAGGCCCATTGTTACTGTGGAGAGAAAAGTGACTGGCTTGCACAGGTACACCATAGAAATGTAAATTTACTTTTTCTTATCTCTACAGGATTATTTATAAAGTACTAACAAGGACTCTATTGCAAACATCTTATACAACAACGTTTGTTCCATGACTTTAAATAATCCATCAGATTTTACTTTGGTACAAAAATAAAAATATTAATAGATCACTCTAAACAGTGATAACTCTGTGCAGTAACAAAAAAAGCGCCAGCTTACATGCGTCGTAGGGGAAGACGCTTGCACGTTTAAACTAAATACGATCTAAAAAGTGTCAGATAATACAACAAAAACTTAAAAGTTTATTTTTGGGAAATTTATTATAATTATTAATACAAAGATTGAAGAGATATTAATCAAACACTTATAAAAATTATAATTACAACAAACTAGTGGAGTAATTTCACAAAAGAACAATTGAACATTTATTATGTTTTGTAAAATGTCATAGAACAAAAGTTGTTGTTTACGATGTTAGTAATACAGGAGGTTTCGAGGTTGTTAGTATTTCACAAATAACCCTGTATTAAGCATTTCTTTTTATTTTAATGTTACAAAACGGATTGTTCTTCATAAAACAAATAATCGTTTTACAGATGTTACTCTGCTGCCGATGTAACCGATGGTTTCACCAAAGATGCGTCTCCAGTTTACAGTATCCTTTATATGCTGGTGACAAGTGAGTATTAAAGTGGCTTCCTATGCTCTGTGATTTCATGGGCTTCTTTGCGCCAAAGCGGGAACTCGAATGTGTCTTGCGAGTTCTACCCATCCTCTGGCGCCGCACAACGTCTTTAGAGTTACCGACACATAGCGGATCTGACAGGCCCATACAAGCGAGGCCGCGCCGGCACGAGCATCACTCTTCCCATGGCGCACATAGGAATGTGTGCTCGTGCTGGTATCTACCAGGTTAGGTTAGGCTGCTCCTGCAGATTACCGATTTAGGCGGCCAAAATTATTTTATGACTTTTGTTTATACTAGATCTTCTATATTATCTATTATTAATTTTATGAGCATTATGTTTTGCATTATTATTTGTAAAAAAATCATAATATCATAAAAAAAATATTTATTTTGAAAATATACAGTGGTGGTCGTATAATTAGAAACCCTACAAACGGTCCTCGACATTATGTAAGAAACTTCACCGCAATCGTTTTTATTTTGAATTTAAACAATAAATAGGACAACAATAGGTTCAACGATTTATTATTTATTAGAAAAACAATATAAATCCCACTACACAAGTGCAGTTTCAATATTACATTACGGACCAACACTTAAAGCAGTTTTAAGGTATAAACAATAATGGACAACTAATTAGAAACAACAACAAAAAAGTGTAAAAAACAACATTTTTTTAATTATTAGCAATTAGTATTTTTATTTACGAAATAGCTACTATCCACAGCCTACCAATATTTATAATTAATATTTAGTGGCGTATCCCTTATTTTCAATAACAGCTCCGCAACGACGTGACAGTGATTCAATCAATGTCATACATTTTTCTAGGGGGATTGAATTCCATGCTTCAACAAATGCTTCATATTATTCGTTTTGCCTGGTGTTACGTTTGTTTGAGACTTTCTTCTTAACAATATACCGCAGATTTTCTATCGGGTTTAAATCCGGACTATTTGCTGGCCAGTCTAAAACGAATATACGCTGTTCGCTAAGGAAACATTTACGATATTGGCCGTGTGTTTAGGATCATTGTCATGCTGAAAGATCCAGGTTACAGGCAAATGATCGTCCGAGTACGGTATCATTGTCAGAGATGTACAAAATGGTTTTAAAAAAGCATTTAAATACAAAATGCAAAATAGTTTTCAGATTTACTGTTTCAAATGCAAAATACCAAATAGTTTTGCGTTTTGTATTTCAAATGCAAAATAGGTATTTTCAAAATACTTTTTCAAAATAAAATACCTTTTGACCATATTGAATGATATTTTAATTTATTTTGGGTATTTATCATGAGATATAGAACAGAGATACAATGCCGAGCCAAATGGCACCTTATGCATGATATTTTGGTCATATTTATCAGTACGCGTATCAATAAATTCTGTTATGTTATTAATAATAATAATACTCACTTAAAATAATGAAGTGAAAAATATAAACATCAGTTTTTATTTATTACGCTTTTTAACAATACCAATTGTTCAAATACATCATCACTCATTTTTCTTCTGTGAGGTCTCATAATCATCCCACAGTACGAAAAAAGTCTTTCTACTGGTGCTGAACTTGGTAAGGATGTGTTGTATTTTAAAAATACTTTCATTTCATTTTGTTTGACTGGTAATGTTGGCTAAACTTAATCACAAAGTATTTTGCATTTTGAAATGAATATCAAAAATGCAAAATACGTCTCGAAAGGTATTTCAAATAAAATACAAAATGTTTTTTTACTAAAAGACATTTAAATGCAAAATACAAAATAGGTATTTTGTATTTGCATTTTAAATAGAAGTATTTCAAATAAATCGCATCTCTGATCATTGTGTCCTTAGAATAATAACGCATAGAATGATAGTTTCATATCAAACGAACTG